CTATATAACAACATACATAATATTTCATGTTTTATTATATATATATATATATATATATATATATATATATATATATATATATATATATATATATATATATATATATATATATATATATATATATATATATATATATATATATATATATATATATATATATATATATATATATATATATATATATATATATATATATATATATATATATATATATATATATATATATATATATATATATATATATATATATATATATATATATATATATATATATATATATATATATATATATATATATATATATATATATATATATATATATATATATATATATATATATATATATATATATATATATATATATATATATATATATATATATATATAACATGAATATATATAAAACAACATACAAATTATACAAAATACCAGTATATAAAAAACATGAATATATTTAATTCAAATGACTTGTTGCTTTGTTTTGATAATTCTCATTAGGGTTTTGGTTCTTATCATATGTTTGAGGTCTTGATTGATGTTTTGATTGTGCAAAACTCTAATCCATGAAGTTTTCATGTTTATTTGCTTTGATATTAATTTAATGTGATGATGATTGATGTTTATAATTCTTTGTGTTAATACTTGTGTCAAAACCAAGGAAATGGATAGTATTGTTGACTTAAATATCATGTGCATATGTATATATTAGGTTCATCTTTATGTGTTTATCTTTTGTATATTACCCTTGTAATTGTTTGTGTTTACCCTTACACCTTTAAACCCTAATTTCAAATTTGAACCATTTTCTTAAAAACCTTGAATTTGTCATTGCATTTTTAAACTTTCTTTATTTAATAAATTCTTCAAAAACACTTAAGCATATGAAATAATTTTAAAAGACTAAAAGATATTTAACCTCACCCAAATCTTTTTGCCACTTGGCTTTTCAAATTTAAAACTTTTTCTCAAAAAAAGTTTATATATAAGTCCTCTTCATAGTAGAGATGTAATTGCCTTATCCCCATAGTAATGATTGAAATAAAATGTGATTCTTTCAACTTGAGGGAGCCAGTGGCAACTTGTTGATCTTATATCCAAGTTAAGAGTCATTCATTCATAATGATGCAAGATCCATCTTCTCATACTTGTGGTGGAATTAGTTGAGTATTTTCCTTAAAATGATGAAATGTATTTTCTCCTAAAATAAATCACAACAAACCCTTTTGTTATTTTTACTAGGAGCTACGAGGTTTTGATCCTTCATTGGTATGTATGTATAAGACTTCATGTCTTTCCAAATAAAAATATAATAAAATATATTTCTTTTCTCATCTTCACATTCTATTAGAAAACAAACAATTCTAATAAAAAAAAGATAATTCAAAAGGTTCCTATAGAGTACTATAGATACATAGGGTGATAACACCTTCCCTTTGTATAACCAACCCACGTACGTTAGATCTCTTCTTTGTACTTTGCTTTTAGTTTTTTGCTTCTTGAATCACATGTTTAATAATAGAGTTTTGATTTTTCCCTTTTTCTTGGAAACAATAAAGTTCAGTGGTGACTTCTTAAAACTTTGTGAGTCAAGTTAGTCAATAACTTGGTCTCATGTCTTTTCACTGCGACATGGATCAAGTCCTTATTGAGAAGGAGAAATCACCTTGGCGGGTGGACTGAACTAACCTAATTAATGATAAACCAGGATAAAAATAATTTGTTCTTTTATCATTATTGTATTTGTGTTGTTTGTGTTTGGGTGATCAAAAAAGTTTTATACTTGAAACCCAATTTAAACCCCTATTTATTGTGCTTCTTTGTAAGTTCAATTGAAATCATAGCTTCGTTTCTGGTATTGATTGTTATATCAAACACTTAACTGTATCAAATATGATCTAGTTCTTGAAACATAATGGCAGATGTTCCTCCACCTACTACAAAGAATGATAAAGATCAATACTCTGTTAAACCACCGGTTTTTTATGGTGACAAGTTTGATTATTGGAAGGATAGAATCAGAATTTTCTTACTTGGCTTTGATGCTGATTTATGGGATATGGTAACAGATGGTTACACACATCCTCTAAATGTAAATGGTGTCAAAATGGAAAGAAGTGCTATGAATGATCAACAAAAGAAGGACAACACAAATAATTATAGGTCAAGAACCATTTTGTTGAATGATATTTCATACACTGAGTATGAGAAGATAATAAATAGAGAATTTGCAAAGTCTATATTTGATTTTCTTAGAATGACTCATGAAGGAAACGAAGAAGTATAAGAAACCAAGGTTTTGGCCTTGATTCAAAAATATGAATCCTTCATAATGGAAGATGATGAAACCATTGAGGATATGTTCTCAAGGTTTCAGACTTTTGTTGTTGGCTTAAAAGTCTTGAATAAAAGTTACACTACTGTATATCACGCGAAGAAGATCATCAGAAGACTTCCAAAGAAATAGAGGTCAATGGTGACTGCACTTATAGTGTCAAAGAATCTGAACTGTATAAAAAGAGCTTGTAGCTATTTAAGGAGTCATAAAATTGAGTTAGAAGAAGATGAACCTCAGAAGAGAGGAAATTCTATAGCCTTGAAGTCCAAAGGAAAGTCTGAAAAGGCTAGAGCTTTTCAAGTAGAAGAAGAATAAGAATAAGATTCTGCTTATGAGGACGAGGTGTGTTTGTTGTCCAGAAGAGTTAACCAATTCTGGAAGTAAAGACCAAAGAAGTTCAAAGGCTGCAAGAGAACATTTAGACATTCTGAGTCAACCTTTAGGCATAAGACGTCTGGAGGTGACAAATAAGTCATCTTCTATGAATGCAAATAGCCTGACCATTATAATAAGGGTGTCCTAGACTCACCAAAGAAAGGCCAAAGAAGAAGTTCTCCAAAGACAAGACAAGGTTCTGATGGTAATGTGGGATGCTTTTGAATCTTCAGAAGATGATCTTGAAGAAGACCAAGCAAACATGGCACTGATGACTAATGCTGAAGCTTCTGAATCAGAGTCAGAATCAACCTCAAACTCTAAAGAGATATTTTTGATCTATCTCGTTTTGAACTTGAAACATCTTTAGTTGAGATTCTTGAAAAGAATCAGAAACTCCAGAGAAGATGCAAGACTCTGAAAAAGATTCTTGTAACTCATTCTAAAACCTATAGTAAGCTGATGAAAGAAAACATTATTTTAAAAAAATTAATTGTTTTAAAAATGAAAACTATGCTCTAAAAATTTATGCTCTTCTTTTATCTTTAATTTGTGTTTTCATATTTGTAATGTTTAAAAACATTTTTGTAATGGTTAATGTATTTTAATATGACGTGAAGGTTAAATATTCTCACAAGAGAAAATGTTGTAAGAGTTACAATTAAATGAGAAAAAAGAGAGCATAATTTCAACCAAAAAAAAAAAGAATGATAGTATCTAGAAGATTAATCCAAAATTTTGTTGCTTGATTTAAAGATTTAATTGATAGTTCTATGTAAGTATAATTATGAATTTATTCTAGAAGTATATTTTTGGATTTTTTTTGATAAAATGAAGACGAGACTCAATTACACATAGATTTGATATATTTGAATATGTATGAAAGTATATTTTTGAATTTGAAAGACCATTTTTGAATTTTTATAAGTTGCTTCTCTATCACTTAAAGTGTGAGAAATAATCCCATCATAAAATACCTTGTGATGAAAATCTATCGTCTCGAGTAATCACTTATCATTCAAAAATTACACTATTTAGATTAATATTTTCTTTTCAAATTTGAATGTTTTGGTCCTAATTTTCCGTTTAAAATTGGGTTATCTGTTTTCACTTCCCATTTAAAAATGACAATTAAAGTTTACAAAATTGAAATAAATTTATAACATAATCTAATTGTCCCATATAATATTCAAATTTTGATAGACTTCAAGACATAATAGTAAGAAATTAACACAATACACCAACTGCGCAACTAACACAACCAATAAATTTCAAATACACTTTCATTATGCACACTTGCTAGTACTAACTAAATTAATCTTTATTAAATTCAAAATTTGAGGCCTTCAACGATTAACTTCAAATAATCTATTATATAAGAACCTTCTATTCTCTGGAAAACCCTCAACTACCCCTTCTTCTCCATTCTTCTTCACCTCACTAAAATGAAGGCAATTTATGTCTAAATATTACTTTTTCCGACTATTAATGTCATATGGTTCTATTTAAATGACATAATTGCTGTTTTTTTGCCTTTGATCATTAGGTTGAAATGGTTTAATGATGTCACTTAGTCTAAATTCAATTTCTTTTCATATATTCTCTTCTTTCAATATTACTTTAATTCAAAATTCAAAATTTTCATCATCTTTGACTCTCTCTCCTTGTCCTTTTGCTCAATATCTTTCTCTCTCTCTCTCTCCACTATGCTCAAAAGGTGATGATTCTTCTTCATCTTGGTGAACCTTATCCCTTTTCTTCTTCCTCTTCCTCAAGTTTCTTCCTTTTTCTATCTCTCTTCCCTTTCTTCCTTCTTCTTTTTCTCTTTCTCTAACGTTTTAACAATGCACGAAATTAGGGTTTCGAAAATCCTATGAAAATGACGAAGAAATACAAAACCGGGATTTTGGAAAAGCATTGGCATCCCTCTTTGTATTCTACCATGGCGAGTTTCGATTCTGATTCCATAACTAATGTGAAATAACAAGAATCCACTGAGATTGATGAAACTCTCGTGGGTCCTCTCGGCTTTAGTGTCGATCTCGGCTTCATAGGTCCTCTAATGGGTCCTTTAGGGTTTAGGCTTCATGGGTTATCTCGATAGTAACATGTATTAACCTATTCTCAACACTCAAGTTTGTTTCTCCTCCATCTGTTTTAGAACAAAGATGTTAATAAACTTTTAAATCATTCATTGATGTTTCAGATGTGATTTAGTTTTCAACCAGGGATAAACATCAGCTGGATGCATACGAGGTGTGTGCCAAAGGCGGATGCGAGTGCTGTAGCGTTACAAGCGAATATAGACTATTCTAATTATTTGAAGGCAACCATTTTTTTCCTGTATTTTTCTATTTAACCAATATTGTAAGCAACGATTTCTTTCAGTATTTAAAGACAATGCAACACAGGTGCAGTCTCTTACTCTCGGTATTTTGAGTGATGATATATAGGGGCACAGGGCCACAACAGTAACCAACCTCTGAATATTTGTATGTGAATTTATTTTTCTAATTAGTTGTTTTTGATTTCTCATAAAACTCAAGCAGTACCAGGGGTAGCTTCTTCAATAGCTGAGGTATGCCTCTCCCATTAAATATATTGCAACAGTTTCAATTCTTTTTCATAGGATAACAGATGCTGAGTAACGAGTTTTTATTTCGTTAATGTTCTAACAGATTGTTTTTGTTATATATGCAGAAAGGACTTTGTGATTCTATACCGTAGTAATATTCATGACATATTTTAATCAAAGCATGTTTCAGAAAGTAAGTTGTTCCTACACCCTAAAATACCATAGTTGTTATTTCACATGAGCAGTGTCATGTCGTATAAGTGCTTCATTAATTTATTTTTACAAGTAGAACTGACTGGCAATATCCTTGATGCAAACGTATTATAGATAAATGGGTGTTTTGAAGCTTGCACGTGATGTGTTTGCTGAAATAATTGTGAGGGAGTTACCCACTTGAAATGATATGATGGCGGGGCATTCGAGGGATGTTAAATGCTGATAAATTTTCTGCTATATACTGTGTTTTATTCGGTATTTAAGTGTATCCGCTATTCCATAATAATTTCATAGTTATACACTCCACACTAAAATTTAACTCCTTCATTGTGTTGTATTGTATTATAGGTTGTGGTCATTTCAAAAATGCTCGATATTGTGTATAATGCTGCAATGTTGACATCTCACATGCTTGTTGCAGCTGGAACTGAGGATGTAGGAGTTCGTCATAGTGATATTGCTTTTGGGTCATTTTTCCTACCTTATATTACTGCCAATTACATTGACTTTCAATTGCTTTGACAACACTTTCAGTTCTGTGTTTTTGCTATTGCCTAGGTATTCATCTTCTCTTTTGGTTTTATCATGTAATATTTTCTAATGTATGGTTTTCACATCGGTTCAGTTTCTAGAAGTTATGCCACTGATTTTGAAATTCATTTTCATTTATAGAATAGTAAGGTTTTTTTCCACAACTACATATTTGCATAATTTATCTATTTAATGGATAGAAAAAACTTATGAGTGTACTTCTGAAACAGGTTGGTGATCCTTATTTCATTTGATCTGAAACATTCATAGTATTGTTACACATGCTATTCCATTATAAACAAATCAATATTTATGTTGAAGAAGCTGGAACTTTATTATAGGTAGTCGGTTCTGAAGTGGGAGTATAAAATGGCATGGTCTGGCAAACTCACTTGCAGTTGTAGGTGCTTATTTCTCTATGGATTTCAAGCATATGCGAAAAAAAGATGCATGTATGTTAGTGACACCTGCTTCATGAAGATTAAACATTATTTTGTTTTAGATTATGCTAAATTAAACGGAAACTTTCTGCAGAATTCTTTCACTCAAATCAAAGCTGAAATGGACAAGACTCTGAAGTGGCTCGTACCATTTTCCGCAAATAAAATCAAGTCAGATATGCAAATTTGTGTTTTGTATTTGTCTACACCTGTCAAATTAAATTTTTTTAGGAAACTAATTACGATTACAAAGGAGATGTTTGAGAAGACAATGTCCTGTTTGAAGAGGATGCATTTGCTAAGATGCGTGATCAGTTTACACCACATGAAATAGAGGAACTCTCATTTGACGTTGGGCCTTTGGGTAAAGTCAAAATCATTTATGACCATTGGCTCCAGAGAACGCAAAAGACGGGAATGGATTTAATACGACACTTTAAGGTACTATTCAATTACTATTATTATTCATGCTATGATGTTTTTATAAATGTCTCTATTTCTTTTAATTCCTTCATTGAAATGATAGACTAAGACACTACAGATGTAATAAAGCATGTGTATTCTATGAATATTTATTTTTGATCTCAAAAAATGTTTCTAACATGAAAGAAGTCATGTTTGAGATGCTCCCAAATTGATTTATTTCCTTAAAGGATTTCATGATTAGTTGTTTTGTTTCAATTGACCTCCCTTCTATGAATATTTTCTTATCATGACTTAGAGTTGACTGTATTCTAACAAGGCATTCTTCAGCAAAATCTTGTGTTTCAATGTATGTTTCATGATGCTCTAAAGGAAAAGAGTCCATATAGAAACCTAAAAGCTATAGCCTCAAACATGACATTCAAGCCAGAGTCGGATTGCTCACGGATATCACAAGAAAATAGTGTTGTGTTGGTCAGCTCTATTCTCAGCATTGAGTGTAAGTTCAATAAAGTGATAGTAACTGTCAAATAGTAAAGTGATAGTAGCTGTCAAATAATTTCTTATATTTTTTTTTCGTTTTGTTTGCGGTAAGCATGGATCAAAGTTTGCATAGAAAAAGTGGGACATGTTGATGAGGACTGCTATGAAGTTAATATTGACATCCATGGATTTAAGGATGATACCATCTTGGCCGACAGAGTATTAAACAAAGTTAGAGATACATCCTAAAAGCTTATTAACCCTATTGACCTTACTGCTATTGATCATGATTCTAATTCCCTTTCTTTTTTCAACCTCATTGGTCTTATGCTTGAGGGTATATTTTCTGATAGGTTATGTAATCTGTCATCACATGCTTCTAGGATAATCAGTTGATAATATCGTTTAGGAGCCTCCTTGGCAAAGTGATAAAAACATTCGACCCTCATCTTCTAAATTTTAAAAATGTTCGATTTTGGAATAAGATAGAATGGCATATGCGCACCCGTTCATGCTTGAAGTGGATATAGCTCTTTTGTGAGGGTATATTAGAAACTATTCATATGTTTTGATCTATTAGCCAGGGACGGAGCTATGCATTGCATACTGTGGGCCCATGTCCCCACTAATAGTTCACATATACCTATATACATGTATTAATATTTGACATATATCTATTCTTTTGCCTAAGTATTAAAGAATGAACAAGGACAGTTTCACATATAAATTAACACTACTGACTAGACTATAAAATATAATTTTATTTAACTTTTTAACATGTAATGTGTAAAAAAAATGTAATGATTACTGAAGTACGTGCTAATATATAATTGAATTCAATCATAAGATCACAGTTTTTGTCTCATGAAATTAATATAAAATTTTCTATTAATCGTTCATATTAAATTCTTCAAAGTTAAAACTAATTAGAAACTACAAATTTTATATTAATTGCTCAAATTAATTATATTATATCCTATCATCTATCGATAAAATACATAACTAACCATATTGTTGTATCTCAAAGTTTACCCTGTCAATTTCTCAAGAATTCTCTCACAAGATTTCCATTGATTCAAGATTTCCATTGATTCAAGATCACACAAGATTTGATCAGCTCAAGATACCTCCTCAAATACTGATGACTCAAAACTAGGGTTTGAGTTTGCACAAGTACAATTGGACTTTTAATGTCACATATAGTTTCTATGGATTATATTGGGCTCTCAAGCACCAGGTCGAAGAAAGGAGGAAGAGGAAACTGTCGAAATGGTAAAGTAGATCAAAAGGAGTGGATGTAGATAACCATGTCGAATTCAAAATCTGGTTTAGGCTGTTCGAACCACATGACTGATCGAAAAGAGTGGTTGGAATATTTTGACAAATCGAAGAAGAGCAAGCTTGCTTCGATCCCCAAGTTTTGTCTGGGCAATGGCTTCTTTCGAGCAACCTGCTTTAATCCACAAGCTTCGACTGGGCAATGGCTTTCTTTGAGTAACCTATTTCAATCCACAAGCTTCGATTGGGCAATGACTTCTTTTGAGCAAACTTGCTTCAATCCACAAGCTTCGACTGGGCAATGGTTTCCTTAGAGCAACCTGCTTTGATCCACCTCTAAACTCTTTGACACATAATTTCGACACTATGAATTACAAGTCTATCTTCATGCTTGCTTCGATCCACAAGCTTCGACTAGGCAATGACTTCCTTCGAGCAACCTACTTCGATCCACAAGCTTCGACTGGGCAATGGCTTCCTTCGAGCAAACTGTTCGACCACAAGGATATTTGGTTGTGGCATTTGAAGTTTGGACATTTGAACTTTCGACCACTTAATCAACTGATTACTCAAGATGTGGTTACTGGTATTCCAAGTCTTGAGATGCCTAGAAAAACTTTATGAAGTTTGTTTAATAGGAAAGCAATCCAGAAATTCTTTTATTTCGACTATGTCAATGAGATCATCTTGTATGCTCAAAGTGATACACTCAAATGAATGTGGTCCATTCGAAGAACATACAATTTGTGGAAACAAATATTGTTTTATCTGTTGATGAATTTGGTCAAAGGTTGGATCTATGTGATCAAAATGAAAGGACGAAGTAATGGTACATTCAGATGAATGTAGTCCATTCGAAGAACACACAATTGGTAGAAACAAATATCGTTTTGTTTGTTGATGAGTTTGGTCGAAAGTTGTGGATCTATGTGATCAAAATGAAAGGATGGAGTATTCGACCAGAGTAAGGAAAAAGATCAAAGTTCTACAAAGATTCAAGATCTTTGTAGAAGGAATCAAGTCGAAGACAGAATTTTGAAGAACATAACAAAATCCTTATGCTATGCTGCATAATCTTGTGTTGCATGCCTCCTTTCTTGCAAATCCCATCATAATTTAACGCTTACACCCACTTTTGAGCTATTACCCAAGTGTTTAAGCCTTTGTCCAAAAGATCTTTACATTTATGGCATAAAGTTATCATTGTTATTCTTAGAAAGCAAACTTTTTGGTACAAATTTGTCTTGAGCCCATACTTTGTTTGCTTCTGATTTTTGCCCCACAATAAATCATAGAAAGCAACCCCTCTAAACGAGTAACTTTGGTACTTCATCTTGGGATCATAGAAAACTTGACATAACTTGATATTTGCATTCCAACCAAACCATAATTTGTTATCTTGCAAATCTGATTACTTCAACTTCTCAAACCTCTTCCCTATAAATAGAGACATTATTTGCAACATAAAAAAAGGACCAACCTTAGAACACTCCCCAAAACCCTCAAAACTCCTTGAACTCAGAATCTGCATCGAAAGCCACATTGCTTGCCATTTTTGACTTTACAGACAAAATCTCAAATCCCTTCGTGCATTTTTTTTTGGCTTTCGATTCACTAAACTTCCATATACCAGCCTTAGAACACTCCCAAAGCCCTAAAAAAACCTCTCAAGGTAGGTAGTGATCCTTTCGGTTTACTCACAACTTCCATATACCAAGCCTTTCGATTCAGTAACTTTTAAAGCAAAGTAGTGATCTCACTAGCTCAAGGAAGGTCCTGCAAGCTTAATCCATCATCAAGTCATTTCTGGAAGTCATATAGAGGTCATTTGATTTTCACTTCAAGAGGTAATATTTCTTAACTGTGATTTATTGATACAAGCATTTTCAGCACATACAAATAAAAGAAAAGATGTAGATATCATATCTAGGAAGTTGACCATGCTCTTAGTTTTGATTACCATTGCTTATACATTGAGAATTTCATATCTAATCAGTTAGATTTTAGTTTTGGTACTGAACAAAATTTGTGCTAACCTCTGATCCATATCTTTCAAAAATTACATGGTTGAATTCATATTCAAATTCTAGGCAGGTTTGATGTTTACATTTTTTTTAATTTGGCTGAGAAATGAAGCTTTTAGAAGCTTAACAATGGTGATATACCTCCTTGCGCGCGCGAAGGAAGAAGATGAAGCCATATTCAAATTTTTAGAAATGAGTTCATTTTATATTTAGTGCAAGTTGGATAACTAACGGATGAAACAGACCACCCCAGTGGTACAAACAGCGCGCGCTAAAGCTTTGCCATGTAGAAGGTCCTAGCGAGACCCAGCGAGACCTTTTGTCATTTTTTCAAATTTTCTCACTTTTCTTTGTTTGCAGGAAGCTCGCCTGGGCCTCCATTGGTTGGGCCTTGACATTTCCATTTTCTGAACCCCCTGATGTTAATGTTATGTCTTTATCTCATTTTCTTTACTTTATTATTGCTATTATTATAATTATTTTTATTAATCAAAAACACCAAAAATATATTTAAATTATTTAGTTTATTTTTATTTAACTTCTTACAATGAAAAAGATCAAAAATATTTTCCTATTTATTTTCTTTTCTTTAACTTCACCTTAATTTTTCTTTAGTTTAATTAAATTTCCTTTTAGTTAAATAGGCCAAAATCTTTAACAAAATCAAAACAAATTCATTTTCTTTTCATTCAAGTTTCAATATGGTTGTAATAGATAATTAGGTTTAATTTCTTGCAATCCCCATTTGTAAATTTGTACACCCCATCCCCAAATGATGTAATAGCGTAGGATATTTATTTTCCGCAATTTATCGTTTTCATATAAATGCTAGTAACTTAGGGTTTGTATGGAAAAATAAAATCAATGCTTAGAAAATATTACTCCAAGACAAAGTCAAGCATGAAAAAATAAACACTTGCACATTTGCACCTCTAGGGTTAACCCCGCTTGTTGCCTTGAGAAAATGGTCATGATATGCATGTGAGACATCTTAGCAAAAACAATAAAAAAATACAAGATCATAGTCCCTTGATGACGCTACGAATGTTGCCTTACAAATGATCTTAGTCCCTCAAGAGAAATGTTAAGATATCTCACAACATTGTTATTCATGACTATATGATGA